GCAGAGCTAGCACACCGAGAGCAAAGAGGAGAGAGCATCAGCTGAGTGAACCAGCAAGTCACTGTCCTGATGAACAAGCCAGGCACCTGCAGCGAGCCCTCACAAGCAGCAGATTTTTCATGTTACTCAAGGCCACACCAGGAACAGCAACAAACAGAACATCTGAGAGCAGCAGGTCTGCAGCAGCCGCAGGGAAGAACCCCGGACCTGCCCCCTCCCGGCCCAGGAGCCCCGGAGAGCAGCAGGCAGCCATCCCCGCGCAGCGCCCGGCGCCGCTCTGCTGCTGCCATCTGCCGGAACGCGCTCCAGGAGAGCTTCCACCAAGCCAAGCCAGCACCAACATCCCCTCTTCTGCCCCGCAGACCACCGCCCAGCGCTGTCTTCGCAACCTTCTTTCCCATTTGGACCAGCCCTATATTCCTTCTCCTCTTACAGGGTAAAATATTAAATACTTCTCCCACTATTTCAGTGCACCTTCAGAAAAAATAAAACCAGCAGCACATGGCCAATCAAACTGGTTTGGGAAACTGCTGGGACATTTTTCAGAGTGCAAAGGCATTTAGAGGCATCTAAGAACTTACTTTTCCTCCTCCTGTGGCACAGGAATAACTTTGTCAGGCTTCTTCCCACCAGCTGTTTCTTCCTGGCCAGTCTGGCCTTCACTTAACTACAAAGATAAGGAAAAGGGGAATTAACACCTAATGGAAAATCATTTCATGTAAGTCTTGCTTATACAGTTGTACAAAAATCACACTTTCATCCAACTGAAAAACCTTCCCTTGCCCTGTAAAAATGCACACTTGTGTGCAGCTGGACATTACTGCCAGTACAAATTAAAAGCAACGGAATTAAAAACACGTTAGTTACAAGAATGAAGATCTGTGTTTACTTTAATGCTGCTTGATGGCTGTTTCGCTTCTGCAGATTCCCCCTTTTCATCCTCTGGAGAGTCTAATTTCCTTGAAAAACAGCTCATTGTTGCTTCGGAAAGTTCTGGGTTTCTGGACCCAGAAGGTGGTGTGGGACAGCTCGGCAACACAGGTGCTGAACTCTGGCCACAGACACGGTCGGAAGCGGGCATGGATTTGCCCACACGATCACCACGGAAGTCAGGCACATCTCTGCTTGCAAAGGGAGTCTTTCCCAGGTAATCCACACCCAGGCTTTGCCGGCCATTTGACATCAGCCCCTCTGAGGATTCTTCAAGAACGCAGCTACTAGCGTTTTTATCATACTCTAGGCAATCATTTCTGATTACTTCTGAAGCTTCTTTTTCGGCTTCCTCCAAACAACTCTCCTCCAGAGGCCGATCTACATAGTCAGCATCAATCGGGCTAAGGCTCAGAAGCTCCTGAATGTCAAGGTCAAACAGCATGCGAGTGACTTGGGCTGACTGCAGACGGTTCTCGTCCAAACTAGCACTTTCATTCGAAAGGCTAAAATAACATTCAGAACTGACTGAAGGACACTCTCTGGACAGAGGTACATTTGATTTCGCTGCAGTCTCTGAGGCTACGCTGGCATCTCCACTGATGACTGATAACCCAGTGCAGCTGCTGCTCTCGTCCTCTTCACTCTCTCCATTTACATTTTGGCTCAGAGCGCTTTTTCTAGTTGGGTACCGCTCAGATTCCACACAATCATCTGCCAATATTTCCTGGATCTCTTCCTCAGTGTAACTGAAAGCAGAATTCCCTCCTTCGCTATCTGACAGTTCCAACAAGGCGTCATCTGGCTCGCTATCACCAAAACATCTGGATGTATCTAGAGAAATGGCTACATCATTGTATTTCGACGCAGAAGAACTGGCAACAAGGTCGTCATGGCCAGTATCATCCAGAAAATGAGAGGATCCTTGAAAGCAGGCAGAATCTGTGGAACAGAGCAGCGCTTCCTCTGACCGACGCGGAGTGCTACAGCGATGACCCAACACGCAAGCTTTCTTAGCTGACTGCAAGGCCTGAACCTGCTCTGCAGAATCCAACAGCCTTTTGGCCCCAGGAACTGTATTAAGAACAGTAGGTTTAAATTCCTGACAAAGGAAATGCCCAAAGGCGTGAAGGGAACCGTCGGCCATGCTGCTGTCGGTTCCTCTACCTCAGTGACCCTGTGCCTCCTGCTTAGAGCTCTACGAAGCCTGTTCTGAGGTTCATCTGATCCTGGTGCCCTTCGAGCAGCCCTTTCAGAAAAGAAACCAGCAAGAGTCAGCTCCAATCTGCCAGCAAAAGACAACATCTTAAATAAAGAAACTCATCTGTTTTCCGAAGACGCAGTAATGTAACAGGGAAGGCAAAAACACTCGCTGAGGCACAGCAGGCACAATTAACTCCCTGGCCTCCCTTACCTCTGCTCCTCACCATTTTAGGTCTTAACAACAACCAGTCCCTCATTCCAGGAGCGGTCTCAGATTGTTCAGCTTTATCCAGCAGGACTAATACAAGCCCAAATCACCACTGCAGTCTGCACCACCTCCTCCAAAGCTGCTGTAAATCAGTCGTTCTGACATCAGATAACACTATTCACAAATTACACTCTTTAAGACCTTAAAGTACAGAGCACACTTCAGGAATTAAATATAGCCTCACAGACCCTCCCTGTCTCCCAACCCCCACCTCTGTCCTTCAGAGGTACCAAACAAATAAAAAGTTTTTTCCAGGTTAGGAAAAACTGAGCAATGGAAGATTAACTCTGCCAGGGAGCCAAGAGGACATTCAGCAGAGTATTAGTCACGAACACATTTGAGCAAAACACAGATTATCATGAAAGATCAGAAGATAAAGATTCTTCCCATAAAATTCCACAGTTTAAAGGTATTCACAAACAAAACCTGTTTACCTCTTGGTGAGGACTCAGACTAACACGAATCTTTTGACTTGAAAGCCCTGCATTTGACTCTCACCCAGCAGGAGAATTTTGGCTAAGGAAAGGTATTTCCTGTCCTCTTTGAGCAGGAGATGTAAAGGAATACCTTTTGTCTTCCCACTGGTTTGACTACTTCTTTGAGAAAGAGGGGGCTACCTACTCCAGGAATAAAACCCAGGTAGTTCTGCTGCTTTCTCTTGTCATTCTGTCCAAATAACAAAAATCAGCACTCTCAGAGTGATGCTATGACCACACCGCAGGAAGAAAAATCCTCGAGAATCAGCTGTGTACACACAAAGCCTATACAAGCACATACAGAGTCACGGGCAGCCCTCACTAGACAGTACTTGCCTGGAGTTCTGCAATTTGGCTACAAGTGCTCAAGTGTTTCAGAGAGAAACAAGAGGCAAATAAAGGCAAATTAAACAGGGATTTAGTCCTGCAGAGCGCAGCATTCTGATAATCTAGCTCCTAATAAATAGGGTCTTGAAAGAGAACCAAACATTTTAAGCCTTTTTGCTGGTACTGGTGTACAAGAAGTACATTTGGAGATGTTTACATGCTCAGCTTCCAGACAAGGAAATGGTTTCTTTACTGCCGTGACCTTCCCAATTCACCTAGCTGCAATCTGTGCTGGGTCTGTACTTTCAGCCCTGCATCAACCGATTCTGGAAGCAGAACTTGGGTAACCACGCACGAACCCAGAGTCCCCTGCCACTCCCCATAAAAATGTGTTCAATTCAGTGGCTGTTCAAGGATTTACACCAGGGTAATGCTCCGTAACAGTTTTAAACGGCTCAAACTGCTGCAAGACCAGGCTGCCTGCTGCTCTCACTGATGCTTGAAATGGTCTTGGTCAGACCACGCTGGAGCCAGCTCACCCCCAGTTGCCGAAGCACCAGCACCGGATCAGCAGTGGGCAAGTCAACGAAGGCTTTTCGGAGAGTTACACGGGCTTTATGCGGGTTTTTAGCGCGGCTTCTGTAAACGGTGAGTGCAGAAGGGAAGACCACCGAGAAACACAGCCCGGCCAAGGCTCACGGCCTGGCCACCTTGCCTGCCCCGCTCCCCGCGGTCCCGGGATCCGCTCCCTCCTGAGGCAGCCAGGAGCGAGTGGCACCTGCAGGAGAACACCCC